GTAAAGCAAAGATTAGTAAAAGAGGAAAGATTAAGGGTGTAGTCCAATTGGATGATATAGAGTATACCTGTGGTTGGGGAAGGAATAGGAACATTGTTTAAGGAAAATTGGCCAAAGAACCATTATGAAACAACCAACATATAGGTATAACTGTTAGAGAAGTAGGAGGAGAATAATCTTGGGAATGAGACAAGGGAACTGGGGATGGCTGTGTAGTATGAGGAAAAAAGTCCGGAGGGTAGGGTTCTCAGGGACGCTGCTGCAACAGAGGGGATTCATGTGAGCATCCAGGTGGGAGCTGTAAGGGTAATGGGAAATGAAAAGGGAATGGTGCAGATGAAGAGGATAGGATGTGTTGGGAAAGAGTGGGAGGAAGAGGGTTAGGGGGAATTCGTAGTGGAGGATGATTGATATTAGCGAAGTCTTTGAATGTCGAGGGACTGGAAATAGAGGGATGATTGAGTGGAGCATTCTCTTGGGTCCAGTTTCTGAAGTTTTAGATGTCTTCAGTGGTTTCTGGAGAGGATTTACGTGAGGAGGCCTGAGAAACAAGGGTTCTCTTGTGAGGAGATGAAGGGATAGAGGTCCAAGGAGCAGAGGAAGAGGAGGGTATTGTAGAGGATGTGGTAGGAGAAGATGGAGTAGAATGTTTAAGTTGCCTGGTGTGACAGGTAAAGGGAGGAGAAGGGGTAGGCACTGGGGAAGTAGTAGAGACGAGAACCTGGAAAAGGAATTTGACAGGGGAGAGGTAGAAGGAAGAGATACTAGAAATATTGAGACATCTTGAAAAGATGGGAGGGGAACAGTGCGAAGGACAGTTCTGGAATAGGTAAAGAGAGAAAAACCTCATCAGCGTGCTTCCTGTTTGGCCTGATGTAGGGTGAATAACTGCTTCCTCACATTCGAGCTTATAGACAGGACAGCTCCTTTAAAATATGTTATGGGAGCCACCACAATTGGTACATGTATGTGACTGAGCACAACCATTTAAATGGTCTCGACTGTTCATTTCTATTTAAAATTTTCTGCCACGTCAACATCTACTGTCATTAACGGCATATACAAATTAGATAATAGTATTGTGGTAAAAACGTAAAAATTAATTAACAAAATATGTTAGGTGAAGGATGTAGAGAATGCTTTAGGTTAGTATGGTAGTGAAAAAGGTAAACGGAATAGCAACTGGAGTACAAAGGCCATTGACTGACAGAAAGCCAGCCAAAATTAGTTGAGGCAAGTTTAATGGTTAATGGTTAAAAGCAAAATAAATGTGCTAGGTCATATAGCACTATAGGAAAGTATATTAAAGGAGAGGTGAAGGGTGATAGTTGCTATTCATCAACTATCTAAGAGTGATCTTGACAGGTTAAAGATGGGTAAAAAAGTTGTGTGAATGGGCCCTGGTGGGTTTAGGTAAGGGAATTACCTAAGTGATTCACGTGTGTATCCAGGAGGGAGTGGAAATGATAGAGGGGATGGAGAGAGGGAGAATGTAAGTATAGTTGGAGTTGAGGGGGGCGAGTTGTGTTGGGAGGGAGTAGGAGGAAGTGGTGTAGGGGGAATATGAGTAGGAGGATGTGTGTCGGGAGGATGGATATCAGCAGTAGTTGGTGTTGAGGGGGATGGGTTATGTTGGGAGGGAGTAGGAGGCATGGGTGTAGGGGGTACATGAACAGGAGGGGGATGGTTATCAGCAGTCACTTCGAGTGTGGAGGATGAGCTGTGGAATTTTGTGTCTCAAGCATATAGTTTTGGATATCTTCCATACTTTCTGCAGTGGAGTTGGTTGGAGAGTTTTGTGGGACAAAGGTTTTTTATTTGGGGGGGAAGAGGAGACTGGTGTCTGAGGAATAAAGGTAAAGGTAGGTGGAGGTGAGTGTGCTGTAGGGGAATAAGGGGGGGGGAATGTTAGTCTGCTATGGGTAGTGCGGGGAGGAAGAAGGGAAGGTGTTGGGGCTGTAGTTGAGATTGGAGTGTCTGTGTTTAGTGGCAAAACAATTCGACTGGGGGAGGTAGAATGTAGAAGTAGGAGTGGGGAAGTAAGTAGGTATAGGGGAGGGTGTAGGAATATCTTGAATGTGGAGGGGGAAGGGCAGAGCAAGCAACATTACTAGAGTAGGGAGTATAAGAGAAACCTTGATGGCGTGCTTCCTGTCTGGCTTCACGTAAAATGAAACCATTTTTGTATCTGAGAGTTGCTACCTCACACTTGAAATTGTAAAGGGGACAGCCTCTATAAATTACATTATGGGGGCTGCTGGAGTTATCACATGTTTGTTTGCGCAGGGCAGTTTGATCTCTTATAACCGGGTTGGGCACATAAGTGGCATCGGTCTGTAGAGCAGTAGTGTTTGGCAGGATGTCCAAATCGCCAATAGTTTTGACACCAACAGGGGGGAGGTTGGTACGGTTGAACAGGGAGGTAATGTCAAGCAATGTAGATACGAACGGGAAGGTCATGTGTACTGAAAGTAATTTTGGCAATGTTGGTGGGTTTCTTTTGATGACTTCAAGAAGGAATGGTGTAGTAATGTAATGATTTCCCGTCTTGGTCTTTGAGGCATTCGAGTAAGTATTCTCCACATTCTAACCAATCTTTGGTATTGACTGGGCAGCTTGCTGGGGAGATAGAGACAGTTCCGGTAAAAGTATTAAGAGTTGGATGAGGTTCTGCAGGAATGGGGTTGCCAGAGTGATCAGTTAGATTTGAGAATGCTATAGCTTGTTTCAGATCTGACTGTAACGAAATGGGAACAATCGCGTCTCGTATGGAAATTTAGCTGGGCTAAACTGAGTATTTAAGATAATTGTAGGGTTGGTGGTGGTAGAAGGATGGGGATGTTTGGAAGAGGGAGTGTTGTTTAGGGGGGTAGTATTACAGAGAGATGGAGAATAAAGCTGTAAGGTAGTAATAAAGGAAGAATAGATGTGAATATTAATTGTAGAGTTAAAACCCTATGATCCAGACGACCTGGTCTTCATTATGAAAAAAATTGGAGGTGAACATGCTATTGGAAAATCTGGCCTAGGGCCAGGGTGATTGGAATGTCTTGCCACAAGTGCACAAAGCTTTTGGAGAGTGATTAGAGTCAATGGGCATTTAAGAAGGGGCATTTACATTATTTCAATCTCTTAACAAGTGTGAAATGTACCATCTATAAGCTATGTCTGGAAAAGTGCCCTCTCCTAGGAAGATGCTATTTCCATGCTCAGGATCTAATTCCTGACCAGCGGTGCTGGTTGTATTGCAGGAAATTGAATATAATTTTCTTTTTTTATTACACAAATAAGTTTTATTGTTATCATTATTGCACCAAAATTTTACAGTTTTTATAACTGCACCAGTGTTATTGTCATTATCATTGCACTGGGTTATGAAGTACCTAGTGAGACGACATGGCATTTGTGCAAGAAAAAACAGTCTATTACCATGTGGATAAAGCAAATCAAATGACAAATATGGACATTAGGAAATGGCAAAAATGCTAAAAGCACTTACAGAGAGAGAGAAAATAACATTGCAAAGAGGAGACAAGGAGTCTTGTCACTTTTGTGAGCACCCAAGCCTAAAAGCCACACATCCAGCAGAGTGGCAGCTCAAGTACGCCTAAAGCCAAAATTTTGAGCCACATGATGGCAGTCAAGCATCTGGATCCAATGGGTTAAGTGAAAAAATGAAAAATGAACAGGACAAAAATTATATGGTAGCCAAGAAGCTTCTAAGCTATACAGAATGAGTGTGATTTCTGGCCAGATATGAGATAAAATACATGCACAAGTACATAATCACAAGGAAGGTATATAGAAGGGGTAATAAAACATTTTCTTTTTAGGTTTTATCTTTTTTTTGTCATTTTATAAAGTAAAAGCTAACAATCAGACTGAATAGAAGTACTGATTATCATTAATATTATGATTTTTTTTTTCTGCATGACTGCATTACAATTCGTATATCATACAAAGGGCAAGAGAAGCATAACAATGTACTTTCACAAGCAAATCAATTTCTTAAAAGCTAATTAAAAAATAAATGTAGTAGCTCAACAAAAAAATAATAAAAATCATAAAAAACATGTTCCTTTGTAAAAACCATTACCCTTTGCAGAGAAAAAAAAAAAACACCATATCCACACCAATTTAAAAACACTACTTTTACAAAGCTACAAAACCAAAGAATAAGAATAAGAATGATAAAAAACAAATGAGGTCTCCCTGTTCACTCAAGCCTCTTAATGAGCTGCAATTAGAAAAAGGAAATATGGAAAAACATTTAAATGAGTGAAAACTAACCTTCTTAACTCAAACGCACGAGTAAAAGGAAGGCTTGATGACCAATTTCATACAGAAAACCTATGAGATCACTTTTTTTGTTATTTTTCGGCGGGAATTTCATTCTATAAAGGGACGGTAAAAGGGATACAGAACAAACTTTAAGCAACAACAGATACTTAACTGCAACTCTTTCTTTTTTTTCTCTTTCTGTGAATGATTCTTCTTGTACAGGTTACATGACACTGTAAACACATATGAAAGAATACATTCGAACAGACAATTTAAAAAATTAATACTATGGAAAAAAAAAAAAAAAAATTATAAGAAAAAAAAAATATATAATGACAGTAACAAATAAAAAAATAACACCACCACTCCAATAGTTCCTGGATTGGTGTTTAACCACTGAAAGTACACATTGGTTGAAAAATGTTTGCATTGTGACCAGCAGTCATGGTGAGAAAAAGTGGCAAGTATACGTGCAACAAGAACTTTTATTCTTTTTTTCATACAACAAACATTTTTCTCAATGTTACTGTTTCACTGGATTTTTTTTTTCTCCCATTTTTATACATTCACATTTATGAAGACCCAATAACCCCAGGCTTATGTACACCATCCAAAATACCACTGAATATCACCAAAATATGAAGAGATTACTTCATAATACCAAAATAGTAGAACTCTCCTAAACCTAGTGAAGGAAGTTTCATTATACAAACAATCCAATGTACAAGAGTATATAATGTTATATTTACAATATTTTTTTTATTTCCCAAAATGTTAGTTATGTTAATAATTCGACAAAAGCTGCTCTTACTTTAAAACAAATATATATTCATCTTTCATTAAATAATAAAAATCAATGCTTTATTGAAAATCAACCCATAATAACGAGAGGAAGGACTGTACTACAGTTTGACCTCTTTAAAACACTTAATTTTTGAATTGTTGTTCCCTATCGCAGAAGGGAAAATACAACAAAAGTAATCAACAATACTCATGGGATTCTCTCTTCTTTAATAAGTCGACCACTCTCAAATCCCTTACTGCGAACCCAATCAGGAATGCAATGTGGGAAAAGAAAAAGGGAAAAGTCTGGCCTAAAAGGGAGGCAGACTTTTACAAAAGGGAACTGAAGAGAAGGTTGAGAAGAGCAGCTAATACCTTCACATGTAAACCACTTTGAGCAAATCAGTTTCCAAATGACTGAACAAGAAAAAAAAAAAAAAAAAAAAAAAATGACATCTTGCACTAACAATACTGTTCATTGTCAGCTTATTTGTTGTTCGAACACTTGCCATATTACAAATACACACAATTATTATCAGAAACTAACCATGAACATGCTGAAAGCCTTCTTCCTTTTGAGGTCTTGGCTTTCAACTTTCATGCTTCAAAATCAATTTCTTAATCCCTGCAGTAAACAATAAATGGGACTTGTGCATCTACCTGTAACATCCTTAATCTAAATATACTCTTGACTAGCAACTGGAGTTCCCTATATAGTTATGAAACCAACTGACTCTCAAACAGGATGTAGCCTTGTATCAAAGGCATCGGAATTAGAATGTGTTACATGATGTTTATACTTTCACTGTGAATATCTCTCTCATTTGGTTATTTCCTTAAGAAAGAAAAATTGATTACAAAATTGTATTTAATTTGGAAAATAATAATCACTTCAAACTGAGATTCTTAAGTATGTCATGTAAGTTGGCAATATTCTTCCTAAATATCCCAGTATCTCTAATTCTAGTCTGAACATACATACATAAAATTAAATACAAAGAAAAAACAAACAAAAAAGCACATGGCAGACCATACTCAAGGAATTAACACTACCTGGGATTTTGCATTATCATAACACAAGTGTAATCACTTTGCTTCTACAATATGGACATGCATACCATGTTTTATTTGCCGAGAGAAAAACAAGACCAAGTGTAAATGCAAAACACATCTCAATCAGTCTTGCCATCACCTCAACCTGCAAATTACCTGATGCAAAAGCAAAATCCATTTCAATGCAATAAATGAGATTTTTTTTTTTTTTTTTTTTTTTTTTTTTTTTTTCATTTTCATTTTCTACCATACACAGAAAGTATGCTTCCAATCCTTACTCTCCTCTTCTGATTACAGGATATTCAGTCACTAGTATTTTAAAGAGGTTCTTCTGTAGAAAAAAAAAAAAAATCCTGAGGATTTATTTGAAAATCATTCATATATTACTGATATTTTTAAAAAGTATTTTATTACATTAGCCTTTAAAAAAAAAGAAGAAAGACTGAAAAGACAAAGAAAAAAAATTAAACTATAATCAAAACATAGTTCTCCTTCTTTAGCACTGATACAATTTGTATAAATCTCCTGTACACTGAATAATATTTTCGAAAATAATATCATAAGCTATCTGCTGCCGAGTTTTCAAGACCAAAGAGGAAAGATCTTCCAATTTCTAAGAGCTCTTCTCTGTATTTTTTTTATGAACGAGACTGGGCGCATTCGCTGGACTAGTGACAGCTTGTCCAGGGACAAACTCTGCAGCATATGGATTTAAGTTGCTCTGAAAGGGGATACAAAAAAAATTGTTAATACTGAATTTTATGTGGGTTATGTCAATAACAATGAAAAACCTGAACATGCATACAAATACACAATAATCACAACAGTAATAATAACCTGGATAATAATAATAATATCAATAAAAACTTACATTAGCAACTACATCCTCTTTCATGCCCATCTTTTGCATACTGGCAGTCAAGTCGGAGGTTGTATTATTTCTTGATCTGGAAGTAAACACAGATAGGTAAAAATTCTTCAAAACAAGACTCTGCAATAAACAAGAAATTCTCAAATACAGTCACACAAGAGCAAAAGGGATTAGGAAAATCAATCAATAAATGCTCATAAGCAAGGATAAATAAGGTCGCTACTATATTTACTCGATTTACCAAAAATTAATATGAGGATGAGAAAAATCACACAAATCTAAATAAATTGACAAGAATTTAATCCTCATAGGATATATCTACAAGCTAATTAGCCTCTCCAAGAAAATCTCAAAGATGCCAACAATTACTTCTGCTCAATATACTGATCATAGTACACAGTGTCACGCCTTTCCTCCTCTTCTAGCATTTGTCGCAGGAACTCTTCTTCTTCGTCCCTGAGATTGTTGGCAGCGCTGTGTTGCATCATCACCTGGGCGACCTCTGTGATCAC